TACTAACATTAGTTTCATTATTACCATTATTAAAACTATTATTATTTCATTATTATTGTTATCATTATTATCATTAGTACTAGATCTAATGATAATATTATTATTTTCTCAGTTCCACTGTTCGGCTAAAAGATAGTTCGTTTCCTCTTACACTAGTTTCATTAGACTACACTAATAAATGTGATGTACAATCGAAACTAACTCTGACAGCCACCCATTGTCGACGAGAAAAGTAGTCGTTTTAGACAGGCGGATGTCTTAGACATTTGCATGACAATAATATTGAAAAATTGCTGTTAGGGGTAGGGAAGGGGCAATGGACAGTGGTCGCTTGAACAGGTTATTATCTTGGACAAGTGGACGTAAGAGCAGGTTCGACTGATTTTTGTGCTGATTTTATTTTCAATGTAGAGCTTTTTTACAAAAATGAAATTTTCCCAGTTGCTCCCTTTTCTTTAGCTGTTGTAAAATTTGCGTTGCAGTTTGGGTGATTTAATGGGTTTGTTTTTTGTTTTTGTTCTTGTGGGGTTTTTGTTTTGTTTTTTGCTTTTTGTGGTTTGTGTTTTTATGGGTGTTTTTAAATAAAGAAAACAGCGTAATAAAAGAAATAATATCACTACAAACCATTTAGCGTGGCTTCGCAAACATCAGCAGAAAAGCTGATAAGTGCAGTCCTTGGTGAAAACACTAACTTCTTTTTCCACCCGAAAGAAACACGCAAGATTTCCACACTCAACCAGGAATCAACTAACAAAATAAAAAAAAGAACAAGCTACACTACCCCCGAAAAAAACACGCGCACGATGATCAACACTCTTCTACTACTGAATAAACTATGAACACTAAACGAGCGCGTTTCTTCTGTCTATCTAGAGGATCTACCTCTCACTGTGACATCCACGAAGTGAGTTCGCCGGGTAGTCGGACCGCTGCGCACACACAAACACACGCACGCACGCACGCACTCACAGTCTCTTTCTGCCAGTGGCACAAGCAGACACTGCTACAACAAGCACTAGCTAGATCTAGCAGCCTCTGTCACCAGTCGCCAGTCGCTAGTCAGAATCGCCCTCGCACTTCGCACCACCGGCTCTGAACACAAAGTAGGGACATCCACATCTGCAGCGGGCAACCCTGTGCTGTGGTTTATTTATCCGCCCCCCTTCCGCCATGCCTCGGTCTATCTATCTATCCCTCTCTCTCTCTCTTC